GAGGTCCGGAACAGCTCCGGGGCGTTACGCCCTTATTCCTTTCGAAAAGTGTTCGTTGCATCCCGTATCTCTTCCTTTAAAATCGGGGTCGATTAACACCGGAGCGAGTAGCTCGAGTGTTCTGAACTCTTGAAAGGAATACAACTATTACCACACTCAGGAACTAGGTTGAAAAACACTCCGCGTGGTAGTTACCGGGTTTGACGTGATTTTAAAGGGGGTGTGCGCCAAAAAAACAACTTCATCTCAAAAAAAAGATAAAAAAAATCTAAGAATAACAGTGAAAACCGCACCCCTCTGTGACAAATAATACCGAAGATATGGGTCTATGAAGATACCGTATCTCACCCTATGACGTCACGAGAGCTCAAGCGACGCACGAGATAGTGAAGTAAATTCAATTTACATATGTTTTTTTCTGTGTCACCTGCAATAATCTAAACAAAAACCACTGATGCGTGCCGGGAACAATCAAATTAACAATGCGGAGCGCGACTGGACGAAGCTCTCATGACGTCACATACACTCCAAGACAGTATATCTCAGCAATAGTTTATCGTAGAATAACGAGGTTTGAACAGTTATTCTTAGATTTTTTTACACTAAAACTTTAATTTTTGGCGCACACCCCCTTTAAGGTCCTTTCACTATGATTAAGACGAAAAATATGATCTTATTATCAGTTTTTTTATTTTGGTATTTCCTTGTTCAGTATCGACTTTCCGCTAGTTTTCGTTTTCAAGTTCTTAATTTGAGAGACAAATACCTTTTTTTCCAGCTCATTTATAGCGCACCCAAAGTGCACTCTAAGTAATGACGTCACAACACTCTGACAACTACTCTACCTTCTAAACGCACTCCAACTGTTTAAACAGCCTACGTCAAGGCGAGAAATGACATGCTGTATACGTCACAACTAATGATTTGGCATTTTGTGGGCGAGGGGGGAAGGGGAGGGAGGATTTGGTATCATCCTTGGCGATAACCATTATCCTTGGCTCTCCTCCAAGGGTTTCCTTTACGGACCTAAAAATTGAAAATAAAATAACTGTCATAGGCGCGTTACGAGCTGGCGCGTACCGTGACGTCACGTGACGTGTAATAGAAATTTGTTTAACGGAACGAGAATCATTAGGCGAAAAATAATGACATGCTCTCGTACTTTTTCAATTAAAGATTCTTCCATTTTTGTTTTTCAAACTACAAACACCAATCAGACAAACATACACAATTTTGAACAAAACTGTTTGCATACTCAGCACGCGTGTGAGGAAAGTGTGGATTTCCACAAATCAACGACAAGCGGAGACACGCGGGTTACGTGATGTCAGCGTACCTTGTTGTCTATACCGTGTCGTGATCCATCATAGCGAAGCAGACCTCACTTTTAGTACTACACGCGCCAGCTTATATAATGTGACGTACCGTGTCAAAGGTGTGTTCCCGGCTTAACTTTAGGAACCTTGATACAGCCGAGGTTATTTAAGAAGGTTAGGTTTCCTGATAACTGTATGACGTCACCTAGGGTCCCACATCATAATGTGAGTCTCCATAAGGCCCCCAGGTCTGGAATTTCGATACGTATTAAGGCCGGGACACATATATCATGCATTATTCCGATCCGACTCCGATCATACAATCAAGGTCCTTATTCTTGGAACAGGGGAGCAGCGGAACACTCGTTTTCCTGGGAACGCTGCTCCCTGTTTCAAGAATGAGGACCCTGATTGTATGATCGGAGTCGGATCGGAAGAATGCATGATAGATGTGTCCCGAGCTTTACACGGTAAGTCCGGAGCTGTCGTGTTCATAGGTCGTATTCGATTTCGAGACAATTCAGCTCGACTCGTAAAATAGAATCCGGGGACTGTAGCAGATAGAGATCGTTATCCCTATCGCTATGGCACTTGCTGTCTTCTTCTCTCTTCTCGAAATCAATAAAGAGGGGACGTCAATAGAGATAGAGAAAATATCTCTATTCGTTACAGAGTACCAGCCCAGATGCTCCATCAAGTTACCCTTCACCAGACAAGAGTACAGCATGATATTTCCACAGATATTTCACCCACTAACGTCCCTTCGACATTTCAGCGAGACATGGATAACATTATCCTTGGTATCCAGAATGAACGTTATCTGTTCTACAAGGACGACATTATCGTATATTCATCAACTAGCCATGGTTGGTTGGTTAATTTTAGGCAGGATTGTGTCCCGATTTGCACTGCAGTTCAGAATTTCATCAAATCGAAATAGACCCTGCCGACATTCCCAAAACCGCTTTTACAGTAGAAAACGGTTATTACGAATTTGTTCGTATGCCATTTGGTTTCGAAAACGCCCCATCAACATTTCAGCGAGTTATGGATAACATTCTTCTTGGTATCCAGAATGAACGTTGTTTGGTCTACAAGGACATTATCGTATATTCATCAACCAGCCATGGTTGGTTCATTGTTTTAAGGCGGGGTCAGGCGTGCTCGACTGATTTGCAATGCAGTTCAGGATTTCATCAAATCGGAATAGACCCTGCCGACATTCCAAAAACCGCTTTTACAATATTCAATAGAGTATTGATTTGTCCTTGCTCTACTTGCTTGAAAAATCTGGGAGATCTACTGAGCTGCTATTTATGAGTTTATACAGGGTGTCCCACGGTGGATGGCGTATTAGACGTTTATGGAGAACTAAAAAGCGGATCATTCTGAAAATTTGGCAACCGGGATAAACGACCATAATCTATACTTTAAAAATATTTTTGTTTATGCGGTGTTGCCGCTTCTACTCTAAACCAGGAACACCCTGTATGTGATTGCATATTTGGATTCTACGTAAAATTCTGAGCAGATTTCATGTGATATACCCTATACCTAAGTTCAACTGTTTTGGAAATATTGACAGTTGAAAATTGACTTTTTGCAACTTTGACAGGCTGTAGAACCTAAACGATTAATTTTAGAAGTAAACAGATTTCACATTCCTATCTTAGATTTTCCTAAACTATCATTTGACACCAGCTTTGAATTTAAATGGAGATTAAATTTAATTGGAATTTTTAATCATGGATTAAATTCACAGTTGGTGTCAAATGATAGTTTATAAAAATCTAAGATAGGAATGTAAAATCAGTTTTCCTCTAAAATTAACCATTCAGGCTTTACAGCCTATCAAAGTTGCAAAAAGTCAATTTTCAACTGTCAATATTTCCAAAACAGTTGAATTTAGGTATAAGGTATATCATATGAAATCTGCTCAGAATTTCACGTAGAATCCAAATATGCAATCGCATACAGGGTATTCCATTTAAATTAGCGATGTTGCCACTGGTTTAGAGTAGAAGCGGCAACACCGCATAAACAAAAATATTTTTAAAGTGTAGATAATTGTCGTTTATCCTGGTTGCCAAATTTTCAAAATGATCCGCTTTTTAGTTCTCCATAAACGTCTAATACGCCATCCACCGTGGAACACCCTGTATATGGGACAAATGAACGCCGATCTGCTGCCGAGATCTGCTTGAAGCAAGAAAAGCAGTACAAATGAACACCCTACCTAATATTAGGTATGTTCCTCCAACACGTCAAAAACCGCCCCATAAACAGTTTGAAAACCACTCTGTATATGAATTTCGGATACCACGCACAAATTTTAGGCTTTGCGCAGAATCGTGACGGGACATTGTACGGTTTTGTGTTGGAACAAAGAAAGCTATTGTAAAAAATAAGATGAACATGAAAAATGGAAAACCTTACACTGAAATACGTCAATGTTTACATTCAACAGGTTAGCCGGAACAGAGTAAATTTTATTCCGTGAACCTACACTGGATCAAAAGCAAGCCTACTAGAAGTATCAAACTACCCCAATTCAAATTTTATGTAAGCGCTTCCAAAAAGCAGTGTTCTACGTTGAAAATCAACCCCATATCAGTTACAAAATAAATAAATCAAAGTACCTACAATATAAAAAGTCTAATCGGGCATAATGCATCGGAAAATAAGGTTCGGAACGTTATTCAAAATAGGTCTATACGAGGTCATACAGTACCTGTCTAGAGCGCCTTAAGTCGAGCAGAGAGCGATTTTATCGCTAGTTACCTTACATGTTAGTAACATGTGCTCTCAATATAATTATGTAAATGGTGTTGTAAACTATTTTCAGCTCGAGAAATGCACCTATTGAATGTAAATTCCATTTTCTTTTCGGATCAATTTTGCACTATGTAGTCGGATGGCCTGGGAAGATACCTACTTCTCGTTTTTTTTTTGGGTATTTTTTCATTATCATTTTGAAATTTGAATACGATTGTGATATCAACAATGGTTTACGTAAATATTACAGAGTGTACTTTCTAAAAGATTCAAGAAATAGGCGAGCAAATCTTTACTTTGGCCGAATCAAATTACCGAAAAAGTTTCTATTGCGAAATTCGAATATTATGACCACAACTCGGGGACATTATCGGATATCAATTTGTTAATAATTGGAAATATTATACAGCAGGGTACTTTTACAAGCCATGATCCACATTGGTAAATTAAATCACAATAAAAGTCAAAGCAATGCACAACTCCATTCTCCATTAGACGATAAAAACGGGGCCGAAGAAAAGAGAGTAAACTCGGAGTCGCATACATTGACTAACAAAAAAACACCGAGTCATTCGGAGCTGCTCTTAGGGCCGAATTTATAGTCGCTCCTTGAGGTTTCCTTGGACCTTAAGGAAGCCTTGAACGTTTAGAATTGACATGACTAACTTGTCAAATAGTACCAAGTATCCATTCTGAACTCACGACCTTTAAGGCAGACTCAAGGAATGACTATAAATTAGGCCCTTAGACCTGAAAAAAAGCGCTAATAAAGCCAAGTTTCGAACCTACTAGGATTAAGGGATTTTTCGATTTCCGTAAATTTTTGTTGAATTTACTGTAGGTAGGTACTTGATATTATTGATAACAGTAAAAAAATGTGGAAAACTTCAGAAACGATCTAGTTTTTATCTAGAATACAAAAGCAAACTCAATTTCTCTATTCTGTGAAATTAAACTTTGATTTTCTGAAAAAGGAGTAGGTTTACCGCAGATTCTCGTCTTTACGCCTTTTTCGTGATTTTGTGATTGATTATTGATTCCATTATTGCTTGCTACACTACTAACTATAACATATTTTTGAAAAAATATAATTTGTAATAATTTATTTGTCCCCATCATAAATTCAATTTTCGGTTTAAGCCGTAATAAGTTTTACATAAGCACGGAGATAAGTAAAATAAACGCTTCGCAAAGGTAAAAGTCGCTTTTGGCTCGAGGGTCAAAAGTACATACACCGATCAGAACAAGTCTTAATACATCAATAAATAAAGCTTTAATGTTTTATTACGGTTTCTTGCTTTAAACAAGATATGGATGATATGGTCGGGTCCATTTTTCATGCCCAATACCACATTCGGCAATTAGTTTTAATACATTTTCCGGTTCGCAAGAGATTAGCCACGGCTATATATATAGAAAGTTGCAAAATGTCGTTTTCGTGAACGCAAGGGGATATCAAACAGCACCGGGTCCGAGATAGCGCGAGAGGAGAATGTAAGTTTCGCAGCATCTTCGTAGGTGGTTCGCTTAGATATCTTACTTTTTTGTTTTTGCTTCTTTTAAATTAATATTAATGACAGAAAACTGCTTATACTTATCGATTTATTTTCGGTTAAATCAGCAGCTAATGCATTAAATTAGAAATCCGAGCTGACTTCGCCTTTTGCTGCACCGATGCACTGATCGGCAAAACGATCCTTTCATCATCATATATTAAAAAAAATAACTAATATTTTATCCATTGTAACGTTTCTATGCGATATTAAATTCAAACGGTCGTGTGGACGAAGTATTGTTCTGGTTTAGGAAGAATTATGAATCGAGGCAGCCGTTTGAGTCGTGCGTGTCACAAACGGTTATACATTATAAGATTTAACAGTTAGAAAAGCTCGTACGTATACGGAATTTACATTTTATTATTTATAAATGATTGGGGGACGATTTAAAACTATCCAGAATTTATCCGCGGATTGCTAACGGATATAAATACGAATTTACCTCCCAGGAAATTATTTAGCGTGCGGAAAAGAAAATTTTTATAAATACACCTACTCGTGTGGAAAAGTTACTTTTCTGCAAAATCACAAAAAGTACATCGATGTCCTCTGAGGTTTTGGTATCCTCGTTAACGTAAAAGCAAAAATTAACGGGTGATGGCGCAATTTTTCAACTAAAAATTTTACTTTGTCGTTTTTATTTTTTTTCTGTTTTAGAAAAACGGATGTCTCTACGAACACATACGATGGGGCGAAGCGTTCGTCATAGTTTACTCGATAGTCGATAAGCATACGTTCCACGAAGCTCAAGAGATTTTAGGTCAACTAGTCAAACTAAAGCTACCGTCCTACTACACTTGCCTTTTATTAGGAAATAAAAGAGATTTGGATCATTCCAGGTACGTTTTTTTTTATCTGAAGGTTTCATTCTAATGATATACCTACCTCGGTACTAAAATGATGAAATTTCAAATTTGTTTATGTTGAGATTATTGTTCTGAGATTTGAAGCCGAAATCTATGGAAAAATTGAATTATTGATAAATTTACTCCAAATTGCTTAACGCGATTTTATTCCGGAAATTATAAGTCCAAATGAGCTGAAATTTTTAGGGATTATAATCCTCTACTAGGATAAAAATCGCTGCAAATTTCAGTTTTCTATCTCCAATAGAAAAATTATGACCAGTTTTCCAAAATCTAAATCATAAGGTAGGTAACTTCTTACTAAAACGATGAAATTTCAATTTTTTTTTTGTCGAGATTTTGTATCCTAATGGTCAACCAACATCCCTCAAACTCTATACACTAAATTATTCTCAGATTTGAAGCCGAAATCTATCAAAAAAGGCACTCAGAAAAATTGAAAAATTGATAAATCACCCCAAATTGCTTAACACGATTTTATCTCAGGAACTATAAGTGCAAATGAGCTGACATTTTTAGGGATTGTAGTCCCTTGATTTGGATAAAATTCAGTGAAAGTTTTAGCTTTCTATCTATAATAGAAAAAAAGTTATGATCTTTCAAAGTTTTCCAAAATCTAAATCATAAGGTAGGTAACTTCTTACTAAAACAATGAAATTTCCAATTTTTTTTTGTCGAGATTTTGTATTCTAATGATCAATCAACATCCCCCAAACTTCATACACTAAATTATTCTCAGATTTGAAGCCGAAATCTATCAAAAAAGGCACTCAGAAAAATTGAAAAATTGATAAACCACCCCAAATTGCTTAACACGATTTTATCGCAGGAACTATAAGTGCAAATGAGCTGAAATTTTCAGAGATTGTGCTCCCTTGATTGGGATAAAATTCAGTGAAAATTTCAGCTTTCTATCTATAATAGAAAAAAGTTCTGACCTTTCAAAGTTTTCAAAAATCTAAATCATAAGGTAGGTACCTTCTTACTAAAACGATGAAATTTCAATTTTTTTTGTCGAAATTTTGTATTCTAATGGTCAATCAACATCCCCCAAACTCCATACAGTAAATTACTCTCAAATTTGAAGCCGAAATTTATGGAAAAAGGCACTCAGAAAAATTGATAAATCACCCCAAATAGGCTCGTACAGCATATTTTTTTTATTACATATTCTAAAAGAGCGTGCTGAGTTTAGCAGTTATGCAAAATTTTACAATTTTCTGAGCCCTTGTTCATATTTAAATAAATTATCAAAGTACTCCAAATTTGAAACACGCGGTGACGTCACTGCATCTCTCACGGCGGTCGTCGCGGTGCTGGTAAGTCAGTCACTTCGACAATACGCGCATTGTTTTGACAAATTTTGGGATGGCATCGTTTTAGTTTGGCATTTTATGTTTCTGGTAGAGGTTTGATGTTTTTCTTCCAAATCACATTTCGTATATTTGAATAATTCCCCGAGTTTCAATATTTTATAAGCACAATTATGGAAAAAGACAAAGGACCCCGCACATTTCTTATGGAAAAGTGATCTATGTGGAATTTGGCTGAATTTTTGATATTGTTTAGAGGCAGTCGTCCTTAACAAAAGTTAGCATTGCGCTAATGTTTAAAACCGAACAGTTTTTAAGATATCAATTAAAAACTTTTTCAATACAGGGTGTCCTTAGATAAACTGACACATTTTAGAGGTGAATATCTCGAAAACGAGAAAAGATAACGGGATGCGGTTTGTTCTGGAAGAATGAGGATTTTTTTAAATTTTTTTTCATGGCATTGACGAATCCTGAAACTTGGTTTTACAGACATTCGATTGTAAGCCTTATTCTTAACGAAACACCCAGCATATTTTGTCATTCTCAGAATGCGTGACTTTTCTACTTCACAAAAATGTATAATTTTTTTCAATTATCATGAAATTGAATCGTAAAAATTGCACTTGGTTGAAGAGCGTAACGTCGACTGGCCAAAAAAAAAATGATAATTATTAATTTGTGTTTTATATGCACTTATTTGTGTTTAATACTTGTATTATTAGTTAACTATGCGCTAATTAGTTAATAAAAGTATTAAACACAAATTAATTCTCAATTTTTTTTTGGTTAGTCGATAATATTCCCTTCGACAAAGTGCAATTTTCACGATGCAGATTCAAGATAATTGAAAAAAATTATACATACATAAAAAGTAGAAAAATCAGGCTTTCTGACGATGACAAAAGATACAGGGTGTTTCATTGAAAATAAGACGGTCATTTTATTTCAAAAAATCGCATGTCTGTAAAACCAAATTTCAGCAAATTTCAGAATTCGGCAATAATGTGAAAAAAAACTTTGAAAAATCTCTATGCTCCCAGAACAAACCGCATCTCATTATCTTTTCCCGTTTTCGAGATATTTACCTGCAAAATGTGTCAGTTTATCTAAGGACACCCTGTATAATACTCTTAAGTATGACGTCACCAATATGCTCGCAGTCCCGAGAATGATTACTATCCTTTCCACTTTCGACTTTGACTATACTCTTCTCGTTTTAACATTAAGAAATAATAAAAAAAAACAACAACATTTACAAATGAAATCGCAATATGACTGACATGACATGACGTTGACGATTGCGGCATGAGTTGAGTTCGGAATGGGATTTTAGTGCAGTGCTAGTGCTGTATTCGTGTAGTGTAGTGTTGTATCACGTGATGAAGGTGTAATCGGCGGTGTAACACCAAATACACCATCGCTTTGTAACGAGTGAACGGTGTCCCACCATATTTACACCATTTGGACACCAAATAATTTCCGAACGCAAATAAAGTGTACACCAAACTTACTCCTACTAATTAACGAACGCCACAGTGTCAATAGTGTAAAAAATGTCAACACTTTCTACCATTCCGAACTCAGCTAGGGTAGGAGCTAGGTGTTGTTTACCTATCAGGATAATACACAATACACTTGTTTACCTACTTATTTGTCACTTAATCGGTATGGCTATCTTTTTCTATTTCTTAATATTAAAAGGAGAAGAGTATAGTCAAAGCAAAAGTGGAAAGGATAGTAATCATTTTCAGTGCTGTGACCGTACAGGTGACGTCATACTGAAGAGTATTATATTAAAAAAAGTTTTTAATTTATATCTTAAAAACTGTTCGCTATTAAACATTAGCGGAATGATAACTTTTGTTAAGCAGGACTCCCTCTACACAATATCAAAAATTCAGCAAAATTCCACATAGATCACATTTCCATAAGAAATGTGCGGGGTCCTTTAAAATATTGTATAGTTTCGCAAACTGTGTGCCAAACTGTCAATAGAAAATCAGTTGACATTTCGTTATGCAAAACCGTGTATGACGGCCTTTAGCCTGTCTCGACTCGAGGGATGCTATGACGTCACAGCAATCAATTTCCGAGGCATAACTGTTTTAATATTAAAAAACGTGTAACTTCTCTAATATTTATCCAATTGAGCTGAAATTTTTTTATGTGCTATATGTGAGCAATACTCCATAAAAATGTGAAAAACCACGTTAAAATTTTTTTATTGAACGAGCCTATTGCTTAACACGATTTTATCTCAGGAAGTATAGGTGCAAATGAGTTGAAATTTTCAGGGATTGTATTGTAGTCCTTTGAAAGGGATAAAATTCAGTGAAAGTTTCAGCTTTCTATCTATAATAGGAAAATAGTAGATTATACCACGAGTCAATAATGATAGCTATTATTCCCGAGGATTATTACGAACTGAGCCGCGTTAGCGGCGAGGGAGTAACATTCCGAGGGAATAATAGCCATTATTGCGAGTAGTATATTCTACTTTATTTACGACAAATTAATTTATTTGAGATTTTCAATGAACAAATTTCATCCGTCTCATAATTTTCAATACAAATCCACAAGCACTACACGTTTGACACTGACACTTTTGTGGAATAATGACCATTAATCCCGCTACTCGTCATTAATCCCTGGAGGAATAACATATGTCATTATACTGCCAAAATCACAAATATAATACGCACATTATACATTAGTCATAAATAAAAGTTATGATTTTTTAAAGTTTACAAAAATCTAAGTTATAAGGTAACTGGTACTGAATTTCCTTTAGAAATTATGCCACAGAATTAGGCAATCCAACGATTTGTCAAATATGGCCGACTGTTGGCACCCATATGCCCATAACCCTAATAGCGTTTTCCATTTGTCGAACCAGTGCAAAAAAAATGTATCTTTATCCTTGAATGTTACATGTTTTTAGAAAAAGATGCGGATACACTCAGTGCGCACCACTCATTAATTTCTTGTGTCATCAGTCATCGTCCCTTGTGTTTACTTGTGAGTGAGTTGACATCATTAATGGCGTTTCCGATTGGTAGATTCAGTGCGCACCAGTGGCGGCTCGTCGTATAAAGCAACTGAGGCCGGGCCTCACATGTAAAAATTACAATAATAAAGTAAAATTTTGAAATAATATTTATTAAATATTTAACGTTTTTCAACTATTTTCAATCATTAAAAGAATCAAAACATCGAATTTTCATTAAAATATAATACTATTTCTTGAATCTAGCGCGCGCTTCTACCTATTTATCCTTATAGGCGCTCAAATCGTTGCCGGACAGCATTAAAATAAAATCGCAATCCCAAAAATTTTGGCCTCATGTGCGTCACAGAACGCCGAAGCGATGCCACGGCACTCCCCACCAGAACGCTTCAACTGTAGGTGAGACGATAGCGAATTTTTATAGGCATTGAAGCGCACAATTTTGGGCTTGTTAATAAGAAACCTTGCATCGCTTGCTGCTGCGACAAGTATTTAATTGGTTAATTGGCTCATATTTTTTATTTTCGTCTGTTGCGGGTTAAAAAACTGTTTTTTGGAATTTATTTTGTTAATTTGAAACTCAATATTTGTATTAAAATAAGAATTAGGCTACTGCTGTTGTTTTGCAACTGTAAGAAATGAAAATTTTCATTAGAAATATACAAAAAAAAATAACCGAGATGTTCTTTTGATGAAATTTTGGGTCAAAATTTGGGCGTAACACTTGAAAATTTTGTTTGGGTTTGTTTGGGTTAACTTGATGGGCCATGGGCCTCACCAGTTTGGATTGTCACGGGCCGCCACTGGTGCGCACCGAGTGTATTTGCATCCTTTTAATCGACCTGTAGAAGAAAAAGACAGAAATAGAAAAAATTGCACTAGTTCCGCAAGATCTACCAATCGGAAACGCCATAAATTTTGTAAGCAGCTAGACTCTTCTATAGGCCCTCATTTGTGCATTGGTGTAAAAGCTATGCGTTAGAACCTTAGACGTTAGAACAATATAGCTAATAATATTCATTGAAGTTATTGGAAGAAAACTAGCAAATCCAAGAGCGGCCTGAGGACAGCTTTTCCGCAACTCGCACAAATATAGACTTTCTCTGAAAGCTTTATTTCAATAGAAATGAAAGTTTCAACTGGTGAAAATATTTTCAATGTCTTTAAAAATGTTTATATACACTCAAATAAAATAATGTAGGTCTCAAAACTCACAAAATTAAGCAATGAGCAGCAAAAATACGCATTCAACACAGAAAATGACACAATATTGAACCAAGAAAATCTTTTGTGTGCCAACAACCCGTCAAAAAAAGTCACGTGGTTTGGATTGCCTAATTAGGATTTGATAAACAACAATTAGGCACTAGCTGACGTCATATATATAACCTCACTTTCGATGGGGGAACAAATGAAGCGTTTAAGGACTATTTACAGCAATGAAAACCATTGATGATAAAAAACGTCACTTCGCCGGAGTTTTGTAACGGATAGAGATCATCGTTATCCCCATCTCTATAGATATACATAGGCGTATCCAGGGGGCGGCTGCCGAGCTGCAGCCCCCCCCCCCCAAGGCAAGTCTAGACTAATTTTTTTCCAGCGTATTTTATGTGGCATGTACATTTTTTGTATAAAACAAATAGAAATAAAAATTCATTTCTTTCTATAATGAGTAGTAGTAGTAGTAGTAGTAGTAGCATGCTTTATTGTCAAAAGATACAGTAATCATTATGGACAAAGCTAATCCTTAAATCTAAAATCTAAAATCTAAACCATCTAAATATAATGCTTGTCACAGTAAATACACATACATATTTTTAAATTTTAACAGTTAATAAATAGGTTTAAAAAAACTATAAACAAGTGATAAGTCACACAGAGAAGAAACAATACAAGAACAAACTGTTGTAAAATATTAAAATTAATAATAACTAAATAACTAGGGGGTCAGATGTTGACAGAAACATTAAGAAATAAGATAAAACATGAAAAAACAGTACAGCAGTGCTCTGATAGGAAAATAAAATAAACACCCAGGACAGAGTGCCCACGATAATTCTAGTAAGCAAAAGCTGGTTAAAATTTATTAGGTTCAAAATACTAAGTCCAGAAATTCATTAACAGTATAGAATGCTTGGGTAAGTAAGATAATTTAGCAGCCTGAAGATAGTTTTTTATTGAGAGCTATTATATGTGATTGGAATTTAAGATCAACATCCAAGTTAAGTCCAAGAAACTTTGTATTTTTCGAACTTTTAACGGAAAATTCGTCACATACAATTCGTTCGATGTTACATCGGAATGCTAGTATTTGGGTTTTGTTGAAGTTGAAAAGGAGTCCATTTGCATCGCACCACATTTTGACACTGTTTAGATCGTGGGATATTATTCTGATCAGCTCGTTAGGGTCGAAGTTGTGCCAAAGCACAGTCGCATCGTCCGCGAACGCTGCAAATTCTCCAGATATATTGATGAACAGGAGATCATTGATATAATTTTTTTCAGAGATAAGGAAGTTGAATTTATCGCAGTTAGAAAAATCTGAGTTTGACAAGAATTCCGTGCTCACAAGAATAGTTGTGCCCCCATTGTTAAAGTTCGAGCGACAGAATTTGGACATAATGTGATAATTTGGAACATAAAAGGGCTCACCCTCTTTAAGCCAGTGTTCAGTTAGTAGCAGTAGGTGTGGAAAATTTTGACTTTCTAAAAATGTTAAAAGCTCATCAGTCTTATTTCTAGCGGACTGTATATTTTGAACCAGTAGAGTAACATGAGTTATTTTGTTGGGCACCGGTCCTTCAATCGAACCCCTAAAAAAGAGCTTGAAAATGTTGAATGCAAACCACCAGTATTATCGTGAGCTGAAGAGCTCCCTCCATTACCAAGCGTATCATTTAGTTCTTCAAATAAGCTAATGGAATGAGAGGTTATATCCTTGTCGTTTAAATGTCTGGTATAGTTAAAGGCTTGTGGAGATCTGTCTGTTGCCAGAGTGGCTGCTTGGGTATGAAAAGATCTGTTGTTGACTGAGAGGATACTATTATTCAATTCTGTGTGAAGAGTATTCAATTGGATTGATTCAGCAATCATTCTACCAATCAGCCAGTTTCTAACCCTGAAGCCCCCATCAGTATTTATATTAATGTAATCAAAGGAAGATTCTGAGATTCTATTAAATGCACCTATCACCTTCTCCAAATTATTGTTGAAATGATGTATGTAGTCATTGTTGCGGTTTTTTCGTAGAGTGGGGCAAGCCAAAAATATGAAATTTGTTTGAGTGCACTTTTTTATAATTTCATGAATGTGACTGAATTTTGGTCTTTTGTTATTTAAAAAGTCATTTGATCCGGCAACAATGACAACACAATCGTGCCTACTGTAGCCTTTTATACAGCACTCCAACCCAGTCAAAACACTACTATATTGAGCTCCCGGTTTAATGAGTGCTTCAATTTTGACCGCTGCTGAATCCAAATGTTTGCGGATATTACGGTCTATGTTTCTTCCATGCTCATCGGTTAGAATAAGGAGTTTATGCAAACTGTTTTTCTGTCTATTGGTATCTGATAGCGGTTTGGAGGCTTTTGGTGTTATTGTGTTCGAGGTGCAGGGTCCCAACTTTGGCCCGCCCTCAGCGTAAGAATCGAGCTGCTCTTGAATAGATTGCATATTGATTAAGTACTCGTTATTTAGTATTTCCAGGTTGTTAATTTTGATCGTATGATATCCTTTCTCAATCGTTGGCTGGTATGTAGTTCTGTTTCTTGTCCAGCTAGATCCATTCGAAGCTGTTGCTCAATATTTTTTCCCTCCAGAAGCTTACCCTGAAGTTCCTCTATGAATTTCTGGAGTTCTGCAATTTTAATATTGCTGCACTTTTCCATTTCTTCAGCTTCTTCATTAAAGGCACGCGAGCCGCGTTCGAGTCGTTTTATGTGAATGTCTTTGTGCCTTCGATCGAGTTTTAGTGCTTCTATCTCATTACAGAGTTCCGAAATTCGATTTTGGTCGTCGGAGTCTCTCCGCTCGTAGTCAGCGTCAGTCAGGTTTTTCTATGGCGGGTGCCTAATGCAGCCAGGGAATCAGTGCTTCATCTTAATCATCCTGCATATCCGAAATACTTCCTTCCCCAGGGGTTCGAGAGTAAAGCAGTACAGCTCCCCAATAGAATGCATGTTTTGTCCTTGTAATCGTAATCGAAAAGTAAAAGAAAATGATAAAGACGAAAAATTACTCCCTGAGACGAGAATGGAACCCCAGAGATGGGTCTCTTTAACAAATAGAGATATTTTCTCTATCTCTATTGACGTGGCGTCTCTATTGATTTCCAAAACAGAGAAGTAGACAGCAAGTGCCTTAGCGATAGGGATAACGATCTTTATTCGGTACAGAGTGCCAGCTCCGGGTACCTATTTTTGAAAACAAGGACCAGCGTTCTCGTGAGAACGATTTCTCTGTCTTTCTCAATGACATGCACAAATAATAATATCGAGTAACACAGACGGAAAAGCTATTCTCATGGAAATGCTGCTTCCCTGTTTCAAGAATAAGGGCCCAGGAGAGAAGGTGCTCCGTGGATAAAATTTCTCCTCCTTACCGAAAAAAATAGGCGCGTAACATTTGAGTATGTTACAGGAGAATTCCTGACAAAAATGGGCAACTTTCACATTTTCAAACTATTCTGTTAGTCATTCTGATTTAACATCTGTATATTGTTTTCCAAAAAAAAAACTTTTATTTTTGAAAATAAAATGATTTGAAAAACGAATTTTCAAACTGTTGCGAAAACGCCGGATAGGAAAGGCACGTCACTTTCCCAAACATGCGAGCATGCCGAAGTTCTCAGTAGTAAACCATTCCAAAATATAGCTGATAAAAAACCTGGCTACCTAGACCTAGTAACATGATCCTAAAATATACTCCTGGACAAAATTATCGCACCACTGCTTATGGTGGTGCTTATGTTCAGTGGTGCGATAATTTTGTCCAGGAGTATATTTCGTCATTTCTAATGTGGCAACATGCGCATGAATGCTTTAAGGTCTGTTCCAACCCGACGTGAGAACCGTTCTAGAACGGTAATTTCCAGTTGCCCACCTATTTTTCAATAAGTTGGACGTTTATCCTAAATAACAAATTAATTGATCGACTGGAAATTACCGTTCTAGAACGGTTCTCATGTCGGTTGGAACAGACCTTTTGTCAATGAGAGTCACTATTGTGCGCAGTTTTTTTTTTTTTTTTTTGATCAACTCTTTTTGTTAACAGATCCCCCTCCCAAACCAAAACCCTGGATACGCCAATGTAGATATACTTAGAACTTTGTTTTCTTCTTCACTCTTTTCGAAATCAATAGAGATAGAGAAAATTACTCGTTATAGAGTCCCAGTGCACAGGTAACAGGTTCATTTGAGAAATATATCGTTTTGTTTGTCCCATCGAGGTGGGTTTGTCTCAAGCTCAAGTTACCTGCTCTAAGGACTCAAGGTTCCTAAAGTTAATAGGTTATCTGGTAATGGGTAACTTGATGACGCATCTGGGGTGCCTTCCTACCATTGGTCTTCCTACTAGTTCTCTCGAACAACCTTGGGTTTGTTTCAATCACATGTTTGTCCCCCTATCGAAAGTAAGGTTATGCGTGTGACGTCAGACATAATTGTCAAGATATTTGGGAGATTTTCTAGTTCTTGATTCTTGATCCACGACGCATCTTGTTTTTTAGTTGTGACTCACAGTGAAAAGATTGAGGCTGGTTTATTGTCTTACTATCATTTTCTTGTTCAATGTCTCGCATTTGTTGTGTGGTAATATTTCCCTGTCAAAAATCTTCACTTTCTTCTGGTAAGGCGTATGTATAACATGGTTATCAGCATAATTTTCCGATTGCAGTAGACTATCATCACCACATGGAGCTCAATGTTTTCCATCCGAAAATCGTATATTCAGGGTTACCTTCAATAAGATCAACTTCTTAAACAAGAAGATCGTATATACTTTGAGTATCTGACATGCTTTTTTATATAATTTTTTCCAGAAATTAGCCATAAAGGTATTGCTGTACCATTCATTGATTTTTTTAAATGACGGGACATTCCTTCATGTAGAGTAGAATTAGTAAGCTATGCAGCAATGCATCTTTAGTGTTTATTGTTTAAATTTCTTGAGCACAACGCTAGAGTGTGTCATAGTCCAGAACATAAAGATTTTACTATTTTTACTATTGAGTTGTAAATATGAATTTGGAGATTCTGAAACATTTTTCAAATGATTAGAATTCAGTTTTCTAGAAGAAGCTTCAGATTCAACTATGTATTACCATTTTAATAGGTTTTTTTTTTTTGAAGTCTAAATTTTATTTTCGTTTTTTAATGTTAGATTTCTGTCATTGCAGATCTTGCATTTCAAGATTTTCAAATTAGAGTTCAGATCATGAAAATGTACAATGTTCAAGCTTCATATTTTATATGATTTTTGTATATTTCCTAGAGTAAGAAGGTTATTCTTGTTTTCAGGTCCATGACGTTAGACGTAAGATTCTCTGATTCTACAATTATAATAAGGATTCAGTTTTCAAAAATAAGAAGCTTCGGATTCTATCATTGGCTCAAATTTCCCAGAATCTGGAATTTATTCTCAGATCAAGAGCAATGACAGTTTTTATTATTGCGGATCTTTCATTTGAATGTTCCAAAGTGCAGTTTAGATTATATAGATGCAGTTTTCAAATTTCAGATTCTAAAAGCAAGAATCAAAATGTCTGTTTATTGGGGGTTGGAGCGAATGTGAGACTCACGGACAAGGGGGTTTCGACTGACGTTCACCTTTTGGTAGTAATTCGTAAAGAGGTTGGCGACAAACTGCTCGATTGTGTCGATCTGAAGATCATCGTGGAGCACTTGGGTACGGGTGTACATTGGTGCGTCCACGATGATCTTCAGTACCCTGTTCTGAATTCTTTGAATTTTGTACCTATGAGACGCCGCACTGGTGACCCAGGTCGCCGCCCCATAGGTAATGATTGATCTTATCATTGATTTGTATAAAGTTACAAATTGTCTGTAATTTAATATAAGCAGATCATAAAATCTGAACTCAGATATACACGGTGGGGACACGAAAAACTTCCCACCCAGAGTTTCTCAAGTGTTTGCTGTTTAATCAAAAATCGCTCAGACACGTGAATTTTTGTTTTTTGGGAGACACATTTTATCGGTATTTTCACCCCTCATCTGTCAACCCCTAAGTGGGGGTAACAGGTACCCCAAAATTTTAAATGGAAAAAGGGGTCGAATGATATTATGTCATTTAGTTGCTATTTTTATTAGGAATATTTCATTCATTATAAAATAGACCTATCAGACAACGTCATTTTTTGAATGAATTTTGTTTAAATAAGTGATTATTTCACAAGACCTTGTTTATCAGCGATTAAATTTTTGTTTACCTTTTTTGACAGAATTTTGATAGAAATATTCTGACATTTTATAATAAATAGTACTCTTTGGATAGGATTGACACCAACAATTCAATCCTAATTATTTAGGAAATAATCTAGCCGTATACCACTCGGCCTATAAATTTAAATGGATTAAACTATCCAAATATTTTTTGCATAATTTTGCTTGCTTTTAACCTAATACTTTTACCTGACACTCAACGCGTTACCAGCATAACGCGTTTCGTGACAGGTAAAAGTATTATCCGGTAATCCTGAAACTTCTTGTGGTATTACATTCGATAATCTAAACTGTATAGTTTTTACCTGTCACACCTATGCGTAGGTAACAGGTAAAAACCACACAGCATTTTACCATTGATTTTTCCTAACTTTGACAAGCCGCCATGTCGACAGGGTAAATAGTAGCAACTTAAAACTTCGGGGATATGAAAATAGCTATCAAATGACATATCACTCGACCCCCCTTTTCATTTGAAATTTTCGGGGTACCTGTCACCCTCACTTAGGGGTTGACAGGTAGGGGGTGAACATACCAATGAACTATAACCAAAAACTGGAATGCTAACACATAAGGAAGAACGTGAAGCCTAGTGCAGCTGCTGCGGAGGGGATACCTGTTTTTGTCGCACTCATTATGTTAAATGGCGAAAATTGCTTCCAACACATATTCCAATTGATGAAACCTGTGAAGGAAAATATGACAAAACTTTCGAAAACGTCATATGTCAGCGAGCAACAGAAAAAAACAACATTCCCCCTTGTGGCATCTGTCTTTCATGGCTTCATTTTTTGGGCAGATATGGCAATATGCGCGCATTCCAGTTTTTGGCTATAGTTCATTGGAACATACTAATAAAATGTGTCCCCCAAAAACAAAAATTGACGTGTTCGAGCGATTTTTAATTAATCACCTAACACCTGAGAAAACCTGGGTGGGAAGTTTTTCGTGCTTCACCCTGTATATATGATACTGATTGACTGACTCTTTACATTTGATTATTTATAGAAGAAGTTTAATAGCAATTCAAGAGACAGTAAGAATCAAAATTCGAACTATAAATGATTCTTGATTGTTTCTTGAAAAATTTTCTAGCGATTCAAGAGCCGGGAATTTTTGATTATCACCGCGGCTCTTGATTGCCTTCAGGAAAATAATTTAAGGAATCAAGAGCCGTTAATAAAAAAAAAAAACTATGTATTATTTATGATTCTTGATTGCCTCTAGAAGAAGTTCAATAGCAATTCAAGAGCCAAAAATAATCAAAATTTGGATTGGCTTTTGAGTCTTGATCGACTGAATCAGAATTTGGACTCAAAGGTAACATTTGACCGATCCGTGGATACGGCTTTGATGTTTTTGAAGAAATTATCCAGGAAATCAAGAGCTGATAATAATCAAAATTTGGACCATAAGTGGTTTTTGAT